AAAAATATAGAAAATTTATCATAAACTAAATTTTTACTAATAAAATATAATTTTAAGTTCTAAGTAAACTTGTTCAGTACCAAAAATTACATTATTGCAATATATGTTTTCTTTATTTTTCATAATTTATAAAGTAAAAATGCGTACATTTGATAAATTTTTATTAAAAAAGCAATTTTATACATTTTAATTTATAAATTAAGAAAAATAAAGCAAATATATGCTATTATAATGTAGTTTCTGGTGCCAAACAAGTTTACTTAGAACTCAAAGTTATATTATATTAGTAAAAATTTGGTTTATAATAAATTTTCTATATTTTTATTAATAAAAATATAGAAAATCTATCATAAACTAAATTTTTACTAATAAAATAAGCCTTTATGTTCTAAGTAAACTTGTTTAGTACCAAAAATTACATTATTATGGTATATATTTTCTTTATTTTTCATAATTTATAAAGTAAAAATACGTATATTTGGTAAATTTTTATCAAAAAAGCAATTTTACACATCTTCATTTACAAATTAAGAAAAATAAAGCAAACATATACTATAATAATATAGTTTCTGGTGCTGAACAAGTTTACTTAAAACTCAAAGTTATATTATATTAGCAAAAATTTAGTTCATATCAGCTGATTTGGTTTTTTGGACCTTTTTTTATATAGTTATAATTGATTTTTGGACTTTTTTTTTTTTTTTTTTTTTGATAGTCACATGAGAAAATATACCCCAAAAATTTTATTAGCTAGACATTTTTTTGTTCAAAACAAAACAATTTAATATAAAACTCACAACCAACCTATCAAAAACCTGTTTAACTCATCAAACTTTTGTCAAGACATATAAAACTATACAATTTCAATTGTAAATAACTACCTTGTTTATTTAAAGCTTTAAATTGTTTCTTTTTATAAATTATAAGCTAAAAAATATCATTTGAATAATTTTATTTATATTTGATAACTATAGTTTATAATTCTCTAAGATTTTACTGTACTATATATACACAATCTAAAGAATACAAGAATTATTTTGGATTGCAGCGGCATGAGACATTAAAATATGCATCATATAATCTATTACCAAATCATATTCAACAAATACCCGAATTAGAACTTAATCATTTAAGAAAAGCTATAATTAAAGAATTGCAAAAAAAACTCAAAAATCATTACCATGCTGTTGGGGAACAAGTGTTTTCAGTACATTGTAGTGAAAATGCCTTTGTGGGTATATTTGGATCTTATATTACATGCTATTCACCATGTGGTTCCTTTTATCTTTATAATTTTGGAGGAGAAGATGCTGTTGAAACAATTGGATTAATATTTAATAATGATCAATAGTATAAACGCGATTATGGCAATAGTCAATATAGTTTTGTTTGACTTTATTCTCCAGAAAAATAAAAGACAAACAACAAATTACAACAGCAAAAAAAAAAATTTATCTCCCAATAGAGAAATGATAGTAGAATGGCGAGTAATTGGATTTAAAGATAAAGCGAATTAGGAACATAAAGCAGGAACACTTAAAATTTGTTTTTTTTTAGATCAATATCAATTTTGAATATACAAATTAAATAAAATTTTGTATACAGTTTGATTTATAATTACATTAACTTTAAATCATGTAAATAGCTTTTTATAGTGTTTATAATATATTTATTAAAATAATAAAGTAAATTAACAAACAATCAATCACATATCTTAATTATTCGAAAAAATTTAAAACTTTAATATTGTTAAACAAAATTAACAATTTGCTATGTATAATTAGCTAGGTTGAATTCATATATTCATAACAATAATCAAGCTAGAATCCTCCTTTAAAATCACTTATACCTGTAAATTTTGATATTAATTAACTAAATGTCTTTCATTCAATCTTAACCAAACCAATCAAACACCATACCTGTAAATTTCGATTGTTTTTAACTAATTCCATATAAAACTCGGAAATCGAGTTTTATTCAATTTTGTATATTGGCTAATTTATTGGCAGTTGGTCAGTTTTGAGAATCTGCGTCTAAGCAGATCCAAAAGTAATTAAGGAACTTCGCATCTAATTTTAGATCTGTAACCCAAACAAATACGTGTTGCTAGATCTTTGTCATGTGGAATATCATGGTATAAAGGATATCCAGTAAAAACTTCTGAATAAGTATTCCGAAAGAATAAATATCTGATTTTTGAGTGTATTTCTTTCTGTGTCCTCTGGAGCAATATAGGGAAGTATACCAAAAAGTGCTTTAGAATTGAATCATGTAATACTGCTTATACCAAAATCAGTAATATAAGAGCTAAACATATTTTGATTAACTATATTTCCGAAATGAAAATCTTCATACACTAAAGTTGGCGTTGTGAATTGTATTAAGTCTTCTAGCTATATAATATAAGTTGGCTACATTAGAAGCTCAATCTAATTCACTATATTTACTATCTAATAATTTTTTAAGACTTCTCTGCTTTGCGTACTCCAGTAGTTACCATCTTTTTGGTTCTTTGTTATTCCATAAATCGCAATTACTGAATTGCCCTATAATTATGTTGATTTTTAATCTAAAATATAAATTGGAATAAATAAGATTATCACACTTTAATAATAAATTATAATGCTTACTTCTTTTAAAAATTCTTGTTTGATATCTTTAGAATTCTCAAGACCCTTTAAACAAATATCTACTTGTGCCATTCATTTCTATACATATTTTTGATAATCAAATCCTATCCCTTAAATTGTAACACAGGCAAATTTGCCTGTATTTTTATTAAAAAGTTTAATTTTTTTAATAAAAACTTA